GTAATTTCCATCGCTTAGGAGGTTCTGCCCTTCCTAGCCATAGCCCTCAAGGATGCCCCCGTGTTCTCATGTCCTCGGAGTGGGGGACATCCAAGTGAGTGAGCCAATTACTGTGCTTGAGACTAAGCGCTAGGGAGGGGAAAGGATCCTGGGGGAGTTCTCCCTGGCGTTTCCCCTCATTGCTGGGCTTAGTCGTAGTCTCACCTAACATCGACTTCGTTCTGATGTGAGTATCCCTCCCCCCTCCCCAAGTACATGAGCGCCTGCCCCGTATTTTGCGATAGCACCTGTCCCCCTATTTCGAAATGGTCTCACCTTGGCACCGTGGAAGGAGTCCTGTACTGATACATCGTGATGGTTTCTCCGTCGACTCCAAGAGATACTGTGCGATTTTTTTGCCAGAATTGAATTTCTTTCTCCATAATGGGAAGCATTGTACGAAGGAATTCTTTGTCTCTTGTAGCCAAGTAATATTCATAGACCATTGGTATAAATAGCGGTGGCTGTGATCGTCGTAGATAGTAAACTCGACCACCATTCGGGATAAATCCATAGGTATCAACGATGTAGGCGAAATTGTCAATCATACTTTTTGTGGTGTCCGTCATTCCTGACGCGAGTAAACCCTTCACGATCCAGTAAGCATCCCAGTAGTAGAATTCGCGAAATCGTCCTCCAGGTACAACAAAGCGATGAGGGACGTATAGAAGTGAAAATCGCTCGGGAGAATCCTTGACAGCGGGCTTCATCTCGCGACAAAGTTCCTTCCAGATTGCGTTCAAATTCAAAGCGAACAATCGCAGGTTATTGTCCTTGATCGTTTTGAAACTTGCCGGATACCTGGTCCAGTCGGAGAGGGTGCAGCTGAAAAAATATGTGTTCGATTAGTACCAGCCAGACTAATTGAAGCACTATTCCATGGGTGTCCCCAAGAGGCCCGTCGCGCGGCGAAGGAAGAGACGCAGACGCGGCAAAGGACGAGTCGCAGCGCATACTGTAGCGGTTAGGCGTCAGGTTAAATAGAGTGTCATATCGCACAGCATGCGCTGCGACTCGTCCTTTGCCGCACTCGTCGTTTCTCTCCTTCGCCGCGCGACGGGGCTCTTGGAGGACACCCATTTCCCATTTTATTGATGAAGTCCCACCTTCGAAGTTCTTGTCCTTCCTTGTCGAAGTTCTCGTCGACAAATCTCTTCACGTCGTCTTTTGAGATCTGTGAAACAGGCTGCGGAACTGTCGCTCGAAATCGCTGATTATTTGACTCCCGGTTCGTCCCTCCTTCATTGGTTGATCGACGAACGTTTTTGAGTCGTTGTAGAGCTTGGTGGCCATCACAGCTTGCAGCAATTTACCACTACCGTACACCATATAGCGACCAGGAGAGCATTGTACTGGTCGCCACGTGTTGTAACCTCCTTCCCTCCGACTCTTTTTCGCCCTAACCATTTTATTTCGCAGCGATTCTCTCGACGATGCGGCTAACCTGGTGCGATAACCTGAAAGAGCATTTCAGTAGTGTTTACTTGATGTGCTGTTTTTCTTCCAACATTGAATTTTTTTCAGGCCCAAAAAAATCTCCTTTTGTTGTCCAATTTGTTCTGGGGTGATTACAGGCTAGAATAGGTAATGGGAATGAGTAAAAGCGAGGCACTCCGTACCCAGAAGGGGTTTTCACTTGGCAGTTCTGATACCATTCGGTCCGTTTTTGCCATAGGATAAAATTGAGTGTTCGCTTTTCCTTGTCACGCCAAATTTTTTGCTTCATTCTTTCATCTTTTCTACTGCTAGCTGAGCTCCAGCGGTTCCCGGGTAACTACACTTTGTTTCCTGCAACTGAGCATGTCGTAATGACGGACTGGATAGTTCACGGCTTTGAAAAAGCTTGATATCAGTATGCTATTTTGTATTGTAGTTTGCGACACACATGGCATCAGATAGCATCAAGAGCATCAAAGATCGGATCATGATAGCGTTTTTTAGGCTTTATACTATCGAATCCGTAATTACGACATGCCCGATTGCGGAAGATTGCAGGAAAGAAAGTCTTTACGGCGAAAGATCACGGTTAGGTGGCATGAGAAATGTTCCCAATAGATGTTAACAATTTTCTTGCGAAGAAAGAAATGAAGGTAGGACAGTGGTTGGTTAGGCCAAATTCAAAAATTGAAGCTTTTTGAGTTGAGGAAAGAGTTTACCGCTCTTCTGTCATCTGAGAGTTCACCTAAATCTTCTCTGTCGAGATAAGAATGCAGTTTGGCCAACAATTTCTGGAAAAGGGGATGTCAGCATGGATTTACGGGGAATTATGGAATACCTTGAAGCAAAATCCCAGTTCAAATATAAGGGTGTCATATCCATCTACCTATCGGCTATCTTTCCGCTACCGTAATCCACGTTGTGTGAGGGCGAAGGCGAGGTATCTCGTCCGTAAGTTCACATTAGTCGCCATCAGATCACTTTGTAAGGCCCTAGCGCCATTGTCGCGCACTTTCGAGCCGCGACAACGGCACATCTGTGATACTTGGGGGGCTACTCTATCCCATCTACAGAACAGATTCTTCGAAACGACCTCATCTGGGATTGTTGCTTTAATTGAATGGGTGATGCTTAATT